CTTAATTAAAAAAAAAGGGGGGAGGAGTTCGAGGGAAAACAAAATGACGAATCGAAATTTTTTTTTTTTTTTATTTTTCATCATTAATAAATATTATTTATAAAATTATTATTTTTAATTTATAAATAAAAATATTGACTTTATCTCAAGGCGAACGAATAATAATAATGATAATAATTTAATTAATTACATTGTAAAAAAAAATTATGCCAAAAGGGTAACTAATAATTTAAAAAAAAAAGGTAGAGAAAAAGGGGTGATTTTAAAAAAAATTTTTTACAAAAAAAAAAAAATCACGACAGCACCAGATGATGAAATTTAACTAATTAAATTTAAAAAAAAAAAAATAAATAAGTAAATAAATCTAATTCCACGATTTCCAAAAAAAAAAAAGAAAAAAAAATTTTTTTAATTAATTAAATGGTTTTAAAAATAAAAGAAAATCGTTATAAACCAAACAAACATTTCCGCTTTTGCTTTTTTTTTTCTTTCTTAAAATATTTAATTTTTACGGAGAGTGACGTCATTAACGAGAAAAAATAAATAAATACGTAGGTAAAATTCACGGTCCTACACTTCCCCCCTCTCTCTCCGTCTTTCTGCCTCCCCTCTCCCCCCCGAAAAAAAAATCAACCAAGGAAAATTCATTCGCTACTCATCTAATCAAGATAATGAAAAATAAAACATTCAAATTTGACAGTAAAAAAAAAATTGTAAAAGGAAAAAAGGAAAGTGTAAAATGTAAAAAAAAAGGATTTTAATAAATGGAAAAATTGGTTATATATAAATAAGTTACATTATTATTAATTAATTAATTTACGATTATTAATATAAAAAAAAGTTAATAATTATACGAAAAGGGGTTAATAGAAGGGGTTTCCGTTTTTGAAAAAATAAATAAATCGATAATTAATAAAAAATTTTTTTACGTACGTGAACGTATTTATTAATTAAAACGAATGAATGAGCGAATGAATGAGCGAATGAATGAATGAATGAATGAATGAATGAATTAAAATAATTAAATATATTTCTAATATTGATAAAATTTTTTTTTTTTTTTTTCATATCGTTCAACCGGAAATAAATAATATTTTCAAATATATATGTACGATAAAAAAAAAAAAATACAAAACCGGAAATTTCGAATTCTTAATTATCCTTTGGCTATTTTATTATTATTTATTAAAAGGTGAAAAAAATTATTATTATTAACACTTTTTCTTTTGAAATAAAAACAAAAACAACGCGTTTCCTTTGATTGTCGTTAAAATTAATTCATTTATTAAAAAATATATAAATCGAAGGTAAAACGGAAATTTTCTTTTTTTTTCCTACGAAACGTTATGAAAAGTAAGAGAGAGAGAGAGAAAAAAGATAAATTAATAATAATAATAATAAAAAAAAAATAATAATAATAATAATAATAATAATAAACGCAAACAAAAAATTTATTAATTAAAAAAAAAAGAAAAAAGTTGTCAAATTAAAATGTTGAAAATTTTTAAAATAAATAAATAAATAAATGAAAATGACGGCGAAAAAAAGAAAAATGAAAAAATTTTTTTTTTTTTTGTCATTTCTTGCCATAAATAACGATGATCATTAGTTAAATAGTAATAATAATAATAATAATAATAATAATAATAATAATAATAATAATAATGATAATAATGATGATGATGATGATTATGATAAATTAATGCCAGCAAAATAAAAAATGTTAAATAAATAAATAAATGATAATAATAATAATTATTATTATTATTGTTATCATTATCATTACAACCGCCTAAACGTTTTACCCTATTGTCATCCATTATTATTGTTTTCTTTCCTTTTCTGTTTTTCCTTTTTTTTTTCCCCTTTCGTTTTCCTTTATTTTTTTCTTTGTTTCAAAATATTTTATTTTTTGTATTCTTTTCACGTTTTGTAAAAACCTGTCAACAACCGGTTTCCAAAAGGAAAAAAAGGAGAGAAAAAAGGGAAAAAGGAAAACATTTTTATAGAAACGCCACAACCTCAAGTGTTAAATAATAAATAAAATCCGTGGGGTTGTAAAAACAAGGGGAAAAAAAGGGGGGGAAAAAGGAAAAAAAGGAAAATTTTTTTTTTTTTTTATAAGACAATCAATAAATCGATTATTATTTATTAATTAATAATAATTTATCATTATTATTATTATATAATAAAACTTTAAAAATATTTTAAAATAGTTATTAGTAAAGTTTTTCTTTTTTTTTTTTTGTTTTTCAAAGGAAAAGAAAAAATATTTGATTGAATTTTTATTTTTATTTTTTTTCGAAAGAACGTAACCGAACGAAAGAAAATTGAAAAAAGGAAAATTTAATTTTAATTGATACGTAAAGTAAAAGTGTCAGCAGACGACAAAAAAAAATAAACAAATTAAAATTTAATTTAAAAAACAGAATCAAAAAGGAAAAAAGAAAAAAAAATTAAAATCCTCACGTTTATAAATAAATTTAAATTTAAAATCATTTTCTCTACATCTTGAAAATTACAAATACAACAACAACGACAAACAACAAACAACAGCAAAAAAAAATTATTAAAAAAAAAAAAAAAATTAGAAAATTTCCCGAATTAAATGAAAAAAAAAAAAAAAAAAAAAACGAGGATGAAAATGATGAAAAAAAAGAAAAAAAAGGAAAGAGGAGAGTATAGGAGGAAGGGGGAAAAAAAAAAAAATGACAAGGATGATGATAAGGAGGGGGATTATTATTATTATCGGGTCGACACAATAATAAGGATAAAAAAAAATATTTTTTTGCGTTAAAAGATTCGTTTAAACTCAAGATTTTAGTAATTTTGCACTTGAAATGCTTCAAAGGATGAATTCAGGTATATTTTTGACAAGTTTAGAATTAATATTTTGTCAAAGGAATCGTTTACAGGCATCCGACGACAATTTCACCCTCTCCCCAACCACTTTCCCATCCCCCCTCTCTCTCCCATCCTCTTTCTCTCTTTTATTTCCTTTATTTTATTCTTTCTTTTCCTCTTGCTCGCTCGCCCCGACATCTTTTCTCTCTCTTTTCCCCTCTCTCTCTCTCTCGCTTTTCAATTTTTAACTCTCTCATTTCCTAATACAGATTTCACATCAAACACAATTTTTTTTTTTCCTTCCATTTTTTCTTGATAAATATTTAACGACTTTTTAAAAAACTTTTTCTTTTTTTTTGAATACAAAACGACGACGTTTTTCAATTGTGACGCCATTTTTATAAATAAAATGAAATAATCGATAATTAAAATAATGATAATGATACTAATAATAAAAAAAATTTTTTTTATAAAGGATGTGAGAGAGAATTTAAAAAAAAAAAAAAACACGTCATTTCCGGTTTGATTATTATTTTATACCGGACAAGAGAATTATTTTTATGCGTTTTGTGATGACGTAATATCATAATCATCACACGATTGGATTTTTTCTTTCCTTCCCCCCGCCTCCGCTCTCCCCCCAATTTATTTTTATTTACTATATTCGAATCACGTATTTTGATTGGAAAAAATTGAAAAAACCTTAGCTTTCACATGATTGGTTAGTTTGGATTGCCATTAACAGCAGAAGATAAAAAAAAATTAAAAACTCCGTAGCAAATTTGAAAACTTTTCCTTTTTTCTTCTTCTTTCAACCAACGTTTTTAATTGTAATAGAAAGTTTTTCCTTTTTTTTCCTGTTTTGTTTTTTTTTTATCGCGTTTTAAAATTTCGGTTTAATAAAAACGTTAAAAAAAAAATTTTAAACCTGATTATTTTTTAAGATATAAAAAAATAACGCCTTTAAATTTAAATCTTTTTTTTTGCCTTTTTTTCCTTTTTCGTTTACAAAAAAAAAAAAAAAGGAAAAGGTATCAAACCAACGTCAACGATTTTTTTTTCCTTTTTTTTTTTAATATTTCAAAGTCATTTTTTTCCTTTTTTTTGAATTCCCAAAATCCCTTAAAAAGGTTATTTTATCTACAGTTTTTTACACATTTATCTTTTATCTGTATATACACCGATTCCTCTATAGAAAATTATTATTATTATTATTTGTTTTTTTATCAATGAAATTTTAAATTATTATCATCAATATCTGTTTTTTTTTCAGAGGGGAGGGGTAGGGGAGTAGGGGGAAAGTAGGGGAAAAGGTAGGATAATTTATTTTAATTTTTATTCGATTTTTTTTTTTTGTTCACTTCCCGACTTTTTCCCTTTTTTATTTGCTGTTGCAAATTTTCAAATTAGTAGGAGAATGAAGAGAAGACGAAAAGAAGGAGAGGAAAGAGTGGGGAAAAATTGGGGATTTTTTCCTTTTTTTTTATTTTACCGATCGTAAAATAAATAAATAATATTAATAAAATTACAAAATGGCTACCGGACGCGATCAAAGGTTCACGATATATAAAAAAAAAATTTTTTTTTTTTTTTTTTTTTTTTTTTTTTTAATATCCGACAGCAAAATAAAATTTTTTAAAAGGAAAACAGTAATTTTTCATCCATTTTTCCCCCCCCCCCCCCCCCCCCCCCTTTTTTCTTCTTGTTTTTGTTATTCAAATATTTAAAATATTTTTTTAATTAAAATTATAAAAATTTCATTGTTTGTAAAAAAAAAAAAAACAAGGAGAAAAAAATTATTAAAAAAAAATAAAAAATTTTCTTTTATTTTCTCCTTCATACTCTCTCTCCTTCTTCCTCCCTCCCTTCCTCCTCCTCCCATCATCATTTTTTTCCACCGCCCTCCCAAAATGTCAAACGAGAAAATACTTATCGAATTATTACGTTAAACAAAATGATAACTCGTGTAAACAAAAAAAAAAAAATAATAATAATAATTTTTCTCTGCATAAGGTAAACATTAAAAAATAAATATGTATAGCAATTACTTTAACAAATATAAACATTTTATTCAGGCTATAAAGTATGTACATATACACACGCGTATAAAAATAATAATAATAATAATAATAATAATAATAATAATTACACAATATGTCGTAATAATAACAATAATAAAATTATTGTAAGGGAGGGAGGAGGGGGGAAAAGTAAATTTTATCACGTAATAAATTATTAAATTTAAACGGTTTTATAGATGCAGTATAATAATTTGGTTTATTTTTTTTATAGCTTTTATAGCTTCAGGTTAGATAAAAATAAATTTATAGCCGTTAATAAAAAAAAAAGTTTTTGTTAATCAATGACAAAAAAAAAAAAAAATCACATAACGTAAACACACAGACAGACACACACAGACACGTCACGTGTTCGTGAAACCCAAAAAAAAAATAATAATAATAATGATAAGCAATCGCGTTTTTAATCTATATATACATTCTGTTTATTTGTAGCAACGCTATAAAAACAAAAAAAAAGGAGGGGGAGAGGAGGAGGAAGAGGAGGAGGAAGAGGAGGAGGAAGAGGAGGAGAAAGGTAACAGGTAGTTGAATTCGTTATATTTCAATTTTACACGTGATTATTTATATATATATATATATATATTATTTCCGGTTTGTTGTTACGTCATTTATCATTTTAAAAATCACATTTACGTCATGTTCCAGAAATTTCTTTTTTCTTTCTTTTTTTTATCGTTTATTATTATTATCATTTTTATTAAATTTGGTGAGTTTTTTTTTTTTTTTAGTTGTACGTGTGGAAAACAGTTGATTCGGATTCAGAATTCAAACGCCTTGCCAATATTATATATAAAAAAGGTAAAGCGTAGGAATTCTAAATCGAAACCGAACTTTTTTTTTCTTTAAAATTCGTACCTGAAAAACCTGAAATTAATATTAAAAAAAAAAAAAAAATTTTATGGGAATATACGATTTGCATATACACGTAGCGTTTTATACATAGATTTTATACAACAATAATAAAATTATTATTAATAATAATAATAAATGTAAAATGTTATAAAACGTAATAAAATAGTTAAAGTTTTAGTTATAAATTTATTGGTTTGAATCTATTTTAATTCTTTGGTGATTGAACTAAAACCAAAATTTGCACATCCGTTTAAACTTTTAATCTTTCATAACTTTCACATAAAACTTTCATATTAATTTTGTTTTACTTATATCTTAACGTTTTAAAATCAAATTTAATATTTATTGTTTTTTTTTTTTGACATTATTGTTACTTTGTTGTTGTTGTTGTTGTTCTTGTTGTTTTCAAATTATTTAATTTTATTTTATATTGAAATTTTATTATTATTATTATTATTATTATTATTATTATTATTATTATTATTATTATTATTATTATTATTATTATTATAGACGAAATAGAAAATATAGCATCACTATTGCCAGGAATGGTGGTGTACTCCTGTCAATCAACTACTCTGAGGCTGGGTAGGAAGGATGTTTTAAGGGTGGGGGGTTCTGGGATTAATTGGGTGACTCCTGGGGTGAGTCTTCAACTTGGATGTCTTGTGAGAGCTCGAGATGGCCAGGTTGAGCCTGAAAAGGGAAAGATCGGTCCCAAAAAGTCACCGAGTTGAGAGTCGTGGGTTCGAGTACTGTCAGTGGAGTTTGTTTAATTTTCAAACGCTCCTCCCTACAGAAAAAAAGTCAAAAACGTCCAAGAGTTTTAGTTGGGTAGTGGCTTCGGATAAGTCCCTAACTCTCCCTGATAGATAGTATTATTATTATTATTAATTTTTCATTTTAGAAGGGGGGGAAGAAGAGAGGGAGGGGCTGAATGTTAAAGACTCGCCGATTACACGATTTAATTATAATTTTTAATTTATTTTTTTATTTAAAACGGGATAATTTTATTTTAACAACATTAAATATATAAAAGTTTTTTGAATAATAATAATAATAATAATAATAATAATAATAATAATAATAATAATAATAATATTAATAATAATAATAATAAATTTGTTACAAATTATTAAAAATATAAAATCGAGAAATTAAAAGTTTGAAAACAATTTTTAGAGGGGGGGCGAAAAAGGGGAAAAAGCAAAAAAAAACGAAAAACAAAATTATTTATTTATGCGTATATATATAATACAAATATTATTATTATTATAATTAAGATTAAAAATTTATTAAAATAATTTTTTTTTTGTTTTTTTAATTTGTTTTGCCGTTTAATAATAATAATAATAATAATAATAATAATAATAATAATTAAAAATTATTTTATAATAATTAAAAGTTTTGTTTTTTAATTAATAAAATATTACGTAAAAAATTTTTATCGTTGGCGTTTTTATTTTTTATTTTATTTTTATTTTGATTTAGTTTTTTAATTAAAATTTAATTAAATTTTGATTTTTGTGCGCAAATTTTTTTTTTTTTACTAAAATTATTATCATTTTCATTATTATTAATAATAATAATAATAATAAAGAAGAAAATATTTCGGGGTAGAAAAAATAATTTTTTTTTCTTTTTTTTGTTAAATAAGCAAATTATTGGCAAAAAACCAACGAGATTTGGCCAATTTTATGTAAATGTCTTCTCGTTTCTCTCTTTTTTTTTTTTTTTTTTAATATAATAATAAAAAAATAATTTAGGTTGGCAGCATTGATATTTTTTTTTCATTTCGTAAATTTCATGTATAAAATACAAAATACAAAAAAAAAAAAAAAGAAAAAAAAATTACATTTTAAATCCATTTATCTTTTTTTTTTATTTTTGGACGTTTTTTTTTGTTTTCCTCACCCTTTTCTCCCCTCCATCTTCCTACCCTTTCACCCCCACCCTTCGCCGATATTGTTTTAAAACATTTAAAACGTAAACGTAGATTTGATTGTTTTAACGTTTTTCTTACTTTTTTTTTTTTTTTTTTATAAAAAAAAAATGTTTTTAAAAACTTTTTGAATTATGTAAAAACACTTTTTTTTTCTTTTCTTTTCTTTTTTCTTTTTTCTTTTCATTTCTTTTCTTTTAGTTTATTTTTTTATTTTTTAAATGACTTTCAATCCAGTTTTTTTTTTGTTTTTTTTCGCATAAAAACGTCTTTGAAAAAGTTTTTCAAAACAAAAAAAAAAAAAGAAACGGTATTGCCACCGGCTTATTTAAAATAACATTTATAAAAGTCATCGCAATGAACAAAAAAACAAAAATAATAATAATAATAATAATAATAATAATAATAATAATAATAATTATTATTATTATTATTATTATTATTATTATTATTATTATTATTATTATTATTATTATTATTATTATTATTATTATTATTATTATAATTATAAT